AAAAAAAAAAAAAAAGCTGTTCCTTTCAATAAACTAATAGTAGTAGTGCAATTCTCTTAGCTATCTTGTATGTGCCTATGTATACATTTTTTCCTTCCTTCTTTTCTCCTTCCCCCCATCCCAGTTGTTCTTTCCTTTTAAAAAAAGATAACTGTAAACAGTGAAACTGAGACTATCTATCCTCCAGCGAACATGTCTGGCTTCTTTGTCAAAGATAAGGGGCTGAGTGTTTGGGAATGCGTCTGCGCTTTCCGGTCCACTGATCCTCAGGCCTGTTTCTTGCCAGTGCTATGCTGATTTTATCACAGTAGCTTTGTAGTATAATTTCAGGTCTGAAATTGTGACGCCCCCTGATTTGCCTTTGTTGCCCATAATTGCTTTTGCTATTCTAGGTCTTTTCTGGTCCCAAACGAATTTCAGGAATGTTTTTTCTAGGTCTGTGAGGTGTGTTAATAGTATTTTCATTGGGATTGCGCTACATCTGCACAGCACTGTTGGGAGTACGGCCGTTTTCATTATGTTGGGTCCCCCTACCCAAGGGCAAGGAGCAGCCTTCCCTTTTCCAGCATCGTCCTCACTCCTTTTCTGGGGCACTACAATTTTCACTGCACAGGTCTTTTATATCCTTTGTTTGATTCATATCTAAGTATTTCATTTTTGTGGATGATCTTTTAGTTCTAAACTTTCTGTTCTGAGTCAACTCTTCCATTAAAAAAATTAATGTAGTTAATTTTAATTAACGTAGTTTTAAAGTAAGGCCCATAAATCCATCACCAAATAGTGATGGAGTTATGGGCCTTACCTTAAAACTTTCCGTAACAAGGTATAAACACAAACATCTATAATTCACGGGAACTATAGATTTAAAAAGTGATACTTGTAACTCAGTATCATGACATTATAAAGTCCATCAGCTCAAAGGATAGGTTAAAATATTAAAAATACGCTGAAGATTATAATGACAAGTGATTCACAGGATTGATCATTTCATTTGTAGAAGTAAAACTACTCATGTTACATTTAAGCTTAAGATAAAATATATATATATAAAGTTTGTATAACTAAACAATCTTTGAGCATTTATAACAATATCTCTAACACAAAGTAAAAGAAATATTTATTTTGTGTAACTTAAAATGGTATTAAATCAGAGAATGAAAATGAGATTATCTATAAATAGCTTGTTACCTAATTTTTGTACATGAGACTCAAAAAACTACATATATTCAGTTTTATTTTACTTATAAGGATAGTACAGCTAAACATACCTAGCTATGTAGCTCTCAGTATGTGTTTTTCTTTTGGCTGTAAATACACCTGCCGCAGAATTTCTTGCCAGACTGGGTGGTGTGGGATTTCGAGGTTTGATGTTAGTTCTAGAAGGGAGAAAGAAATGACAGGATGAAAAAATGTTGAATACAAGCACCGATTTTTCAAGTTACCTATTTGCATGAGTAAGAGGCTCAGAAAAGTTTAACAGATTAAATTCCAAATGCTTATTTTAGGTCTGAAAACTAGTAATTCATACTATGGATACAATATCTTGTATGAACATTTTTTATATAAAAATCAGGATATTTACATATATTTTACATGAAATTTAAAAGTAATCATTCTGAAAGGCTTCAAAGTTAAAACTCTCTAAAATTTACAACACCCTCAAAAAACAGGTTTGTTCTATCCAATGTCTATGAGTAATTGTTGAGTAATATATTTAAGCTCTTTTTATTGTTCTAAGCATATGTGATATGGTTAAAATTTAGCTATTTTAAAGGATAATATTCAATTTCTGAAAGTTCTCTGATAAAGTAATTAAATGAATTATTAGTTTCCCCTTTAAATATTTAATTTCTCCCACTGCACAGCTATCTAAAGGTATCCGGTACCAAGACATGGTTGAATCATCAATGAATTCCTCTTTTAAAACTTTAGGAATCATAGAAAGTTGAATGATGATGTATCACTGAGATCCATATAAATCTGGATTCAAATTCCCAGGGCTACTAACTAGCTCTATGACAGCTGTCCACCTGTGAGTCCCCTCACTGATGAAGCGATCGCTTTATCTTATACAAAGGTTATGAAAGAAACTTACACTAATATTTAGCACTGGCGCTGCTGTTAGTACTACTGATCCTGTTACTACAGGACTATAGTACAGTTATACTCTTAGTATATGCCAAACAGTTTCGTCTTGAATATTGTTTTGTGTGTGGGAACTCATTTAATCCTAATTAGTTTATGAAATAGGTAAGGATTAGTAATTCCCCTTAACAGATGAGGCAAATGAGGCAGCATTAGCGAGCTGCGGGGCTAGCGTGCCGCAAAGGCAGGGCCCAGACGTTCGCTAAGGCTTCAGCCCCTCCCTCCCTCTAAGAGTTACTCACATCTTTTTATTTCACATGGAAACAATGTTGCATTAAATAAACAGGTATAATACTTTAAAAGACTGTTAAATTAGAAGCTCTTAAGTTTTCGCCACAGTTCTTCCTATGACATGGTAAAGACAGGCTCTCCTAAAATTTTAAATAGCTACTTCTAATATACTTGTAGACAGTAACTATTTTTGAACATCCACTACATGTCAAATATGAAGCCAGTCACGACACATACATTATTTGTCCCCCGAACCAAGAGACATTATTCCCTGTTCAAAACTGAAGGCTCTTCTGCCCTTCTGGGCTTGCTTTCTGTGAGGCAGCGGCTCTACGCTGCCTGGTGCGGCCTCGATCGTGTGGGCGGGCTCCAAGTGCCCCTCCCGGCTCCGCCTGCTCGGCAGCTGGGACTGCGGCAGCACTGCTACGCCCGGCTTGAGGGAACGCACGTTCAGAGGTATGACCGAGACCGGAAGCTCCACGCGACAGCTGAGCCCTTGCACTTGAGTCTGCGGGCCGCACCCCACACCTCACACTCCCCATGCAGTGCTAACGACCGTTGTGAGAAGTGACTTCAACGAGCCGAAAGCCACCGTGGTGCACAGGCCAGGTGCCCCGGCCTTCAAATGCTCAGTCCACGCCTGCTGCTGACGTGCATTCCACTCCGCTTCCCTACAGCCCATCCACGGATCTTACAGAACTACTACAGAGCGTCCTGCGAGTGCAGGGTCTCTCCGAAAAGATCATCGCTAACAAACGCATTCAGAAAAGGAGAAAATGTTTTTCTCAGGCTCTGGAAGTCTTGTTAGCAATCTTATCACCTTCATATACTATTATGTGCTCAAGAAATACACGACACCAACGCGCTCCTGAGTAGATGCATACAATCTCAGCATAGCAATCATTCAAAGTTCTTTAAAATACTTACATTTAGAGGAAAAGTTAAAAGATTATCAACAGCAGTCATGACAGTATGCTTATCAGCTGTTTTTCGTAATATCTTTTAAGAAGCAGAATGTCATTGTTTTGATCAACATTTAAAACATGTTCCCTTAGTCTCATATAGTCAAACATTTCTCTTCCCAGTCAGGGTACATGAAGTGTTATCTTTGTCCTGTTTCTGGAATTTGCTCATTGCACTTCAGACTAAATCATGGTTTAGGAGAGGAATTAATACTTTATCTTACTGTTAGTCAGATTTTCTTCGAGATCTGCATAGCAGGGTAGAGGTAGTAGTACTAGTATATAGACAAGTGGTTCAGGACATGAAAATCTGCCTTCTAGGATTCAAAAATTAATAAGAAGTAACTCACGTTTGCTGCTACTATCTTAAAGACTTTCTCCATTTTCATTATTATATATTTTCTTATATAAATAATAAGCAGAAAATACATAGTGGTTTAAAATTATGTTAACTCTGCTTCATATATTTTTCACCAATAGTAAGTAAAGTAGTATGTAAGGCCCTTACTTTATCATTTAAAATGAGAGTCAGGCTTGGAATTAAAGCCCAAATTAGCAAACCTTGCAGAGTCACGCTGCGGAGTTTCAGAAATGACGCCACCGCCACACTGGCTCCCTAGTCAGCTACGCCAGCACACAGAAGGTCTGGCAGTGTCAGAACCTGTCCTCGTGTTAGGCTGAATTTACACCCATTGGACAAAGACTAATAGAATGATGGAAAGTTTTCCATAATTTTTTTCTAGCTGTCATAATTCATCATCTGCTTGACCAAGAGATAATCAGTAATTTAAATATTATACATCATTTTCCCATACTCTTCTTTGTAAAATTATTATTTTTACAAAGAAACAAAAAAAAAGTGACCTAAAAACAACTGTGGAAGGGGACTGCTTAACCTTCTACAAATCAGTATTTAATAGAATAAAATGTACGATCTAAAAAGTGGGTTTTAGAAACATTAATAAAAATGTTTTAAGTTCTGAAGCGGTAATTAAGAATTTCTAGCTTACAACTATTTTAAGTTACAACTATTTTTTAAGTATAAGGTAAAATGGTATTTTATTATTTAAAGCCTTAAGAAAATAGATGAAAAAGTTTAACCAGACTGAATTACAAATACTTACTTGTAAACGGGTAATAACTCATGTCTTTTGAAGGCACTGTCTGACTTTGTATCACTGTCATACAACCTTTGCACATGTCTTCCAGTTCAAAGTGGAGGACCTAACTTGTCCATCTTACTATTAAAATATATAAAGGTGTACCCATAAGGAGATTGCTACTGTTTGTTTCTTAATACAATGATTTTTTTAAAGAAAAAGATAATTCTGTTTCCTAAGAACTCTACCCCATCCCTTAATTATCTGACTGCAAGGTGAGTACAAATGTCAAAAAGAATTCTCCAGAGAATTTGCACAATGCTCACTGCTAGACTCTGACACACCTGGGAAGCGGAATCAATCAGAAAACACCAGCAATGGTTTAGAAAGGAGACATGAACCCGAAGTTGTCATTCTCCCTTCCCGACACTGACAGAACCTTTTCTCTGTTATTTCATTGTGTAATTTTCCTTGCATTTTACAACTGCAAATATAAAATAAGAACTGATAAGTAACATTATATCTTAATCATACCTGACTTTCTAACAAAGGAATTTATTTCTGAAAAGTAAAACATTACCTACATGGAAAAAAAAAAAAAAAAAAAACAGGAATGGCAGTTCTAAAGTTCATTTGTAAAATGTTTACTGACTACCCAATGTGAATTTTTTTTAATGCAAAAGTATACAGGCTCTCCACCTAGAGGACAGCAGGACAAACTACAGCTTTATGGGGCAATTAATGGTCTCACACAAACCGAAGCACTGAATTATACGTCCCACCACTGCTCAGAGTCGGGGCAACACAATTTACTTGGGTCATCAGAAAAGCTGTCTTCAATGACGATAAGACATCAGTGCTTACTTTTGAACGTGCATCCTTTTTAAATTTTTAAAAATTTTAGTAGCATATATTTGCAGTATGACTATATTCTCTGTGGGAAGTTGGTACAAGTACATAATATATATTAATTCCTTTTTCATCCTCTTCATCTTCCCGCCAAGAAATCCACACTTTTTTTCATTCATTCACTAACCTAACCATTTTCTCATTCATCTAGTAAACCTGGGGATCTCCTAGACTACGTGTCAAACACTTAGTTTCTGGGGACACCGGGAAATGAGACAAATGAGATGCCTGTTCTTATAGAACCCCTCCTCTGAAAACTGTGTTCCTTTATCTAGACTACAAGGGTGTCAGTGAAGGAGCACATTATGCTCACTGGCACGCTTTTAAGTAGCCCCTGTAGCCGGGGATACAGCTCAGCGGCATAAGCATCTGTCTGGCAACTGCAAGGTCCTGAGTTCGATTCCCGGTACAAAAAAAAAAAGTAGCCCATGTATAGGGTGTATTTCAATGCACAAGTGTAAGGAGTGTGTTTATACTGAGGATTGAAAATTGTTTTAATTAAATATATAACAAACATAATCTCTAAGAAATGTGAGATTAAAATTTGTTTTTAATTTGTCAAAGATGAAGAATTTTAATCAAATCTGTCTTTTAATCACAAACAATTACCAAGGTATTATTGTCCAACAGCAGTTATTTTCAAAAGGGCATCTGTGGTCTGTGCATAAGGAATAAGATTCTTCTTTCTCAGAAAAAGTACAATTGAAATTTAGAAAATTTAGGCTTTGTATTTTTCTAATACAAACCTAAGACAGTTATTTCGAGGGAAAAGTACCTATGTTACATAAACAGAAGAACTGACAATGTTGTCAGACTCTGAGAACCCAGCTGATGACTTGCTTGTACCACACAGCTGTGCTCACAATTCAACTCGAAGTATATGTAAGTAGACACACACACGAACACAGTGTTTAAAGGGTTACTAAGTGATTCTTGGGCTAAAAATCACCTAAACTTATTTTTTTCTATAATATGCTACTGTTAGGCTATGCAACGAAACCAACGTTTATAAATCTGAATGATGAACACTGTACCTAATACTTTTGTGCAGGCTTCCAAAATAGTCCTAACTGAATGATCACACTGAGAAATCTTTGGCAATCATATCAATCTATTCCTAATAGATTTACTGGGAACTTACTTTAAACACCAGGAATCAATTCACTTAGGAAACAAGACACTTCAGTTTACAAAGTATGTTGTAGGATTGTAGCAAGTACAGCAGATTGAGATAATTAAAAAGATGATTTCTGAATTCACACTCCTGAAAACTTTTACTACATAGCATTTCACATATCTCTGTGAACTTCTGTATTTAAAATGGTCTGAGACACTCAAAATTTTGAAATGCATTAGTCATATATTTTGATGAAATCCATCGATCTGTCACAAATAACCCAGTGCCTCAATTCTAAGGCAAAGGTACCTTCTTAACATAATAGCTTCAATCATTTTTATCTACACGAGGAAACCTACATTCTGTAATTAGAAGTTGTTTCAGGTACTTCTAGATCAGTAAGACAGGAAAGTTAATAAAAACCTAAACAATGCTCCATGTATACATGACTCACACCATCAAAAGATTAGCTTATCAGAAAAGCATGTTTCCACTCCTACAAAAAACACATTTCTTACTTTTTTTAATAATGTGAAGTATGAGCACTCAAATTAAATTTGTAATTAAAAACGTACCTCACCTGTATTTTGTCTCTAATTTTACCTTATTTATTAGAGTCAAGTGGAAGTAAACTTTCCTTTTTCAGGGTAACTGAACAGAAGTAAACCTCTGAAAGGTGACATTTCACCTACTAAAAATTATTGAGATAGACATGTAAAGTGGTAGTCAGACATTAAGAAAGCACAGTTCTGAAGTCTCCACCATGTAAACTGCGACACAACTCAAGTGTGGCAATATTTATTTAAAAGCTTAGTGTTTGACCACACTTCTAAAACTCCCTAAGATAAAAGAATTTTTAACAATAAGGAAATATTTTCCATTGGGGTGTGCTTTGCCTTTGAAGTTTTCTTTTATTTAATGTTGTCCCACAGATTATTTAGAATTTAGTTACCAATCATGAGAATATTTGGAAGTGAAAAGATTTCTTTTCCTGTGCCATGACTCGATATATGCTACCTACTACCGATTACCAGTCCACCTGATTAAAGTGAACCGTATTATGTACGGCAGGCTTTAAATGACCACCAGCCACTGAAATAATGTCAATTACTAATATTAGCAGACACTCCATTTCTTGAACATTACAGTCAGCCAGACGTCTTAATTCTATCTTCACTCAACCCTGAATTAACTGTCTGAATGAGAAATATAGTTGCCACACAAATTTCAAGTAATTCTATTTCCTGTAGGACCATGCAACGATGTGCCAACAGATGTACAGGTGAGGCATTTATTAATTCATTTTTTTCACTCATTTCACTTGTCGTATGCCTATCGTAGGCGCTCTGCTAAATTTTATAGTTGCATCTGTAATACTGCCATCTCTGTCATCATAAAAGTTTACCAACCTGGCAGGGAAAACGAACATATCATTACCTCAACAATTCTACAAAAGGAATGACCTCCGCCACGACATGGACAGTTGTGAATGAATGGCCCTAGTTTAGTATCATAATATAGGTACTTCTAGTGAATACAGAAAACATACCAGCAGAATCAAACACCGTCAGTCTCTGATAACTGAAAACTCTCCTTTAATAGGTAAGGGTCTTATGGGCAATTAGCATTTGAACAGATGTGACTGACCGTCTAACACGATGCGAGCCAACCAAAATCTCATCTACAAACCCTAACAGCACTGTGCTCAGAACCTCTGCTTCTTGGGAAAAGCATCGCCCTTGGTGTAACACAAATGTTGGTCAGATTTTCTGAGATCCGTTGTCAGGGGCTGAACCGTCACATGGTGGTGTCAGGGCAAAGCAGGTGGACAAACTCAAGTTTTACGCTTACTTAGTGGCACAGCAGAACCTACAGGCCTAGTTTTTCTCACTAAAAACACCAGGCCGCCTGTTCTCTACGTCAGCCAGCTTCTAAGTACTACTTAAGGGCAGTCTGTCTTTGGTTTTTGTTGGTTTTCTCCAGTACGGGGATCGACCTCGCGCTTGCCAGGCGGCGCTGTGCCGCTGAGCGAAATCCCCGGCCCAAGAGCAGTCTGCCGGTGCAACCTAGCGCCCCAACTGATGAGGTCACCAATGCGACAGAAGTGCCAAGAAACACTGCCTCTTAATCCACAGTCAACGATGAGAACCATTCCACAAGCACTAAACCTAACACAGAGGGCAACTGTCTGGAGTGGTAGAAAGTTTTTTACGAAGTTAATTGCTTGATCTATACTCCACTACGCAATGAAGCAACTCAGTACAGAAAAAAAAAATATTAGATCAGTTTCTTACCAGTGGAAGATTAGAGTACCCTATTTTTCAACTACCTGTTCTACTGTTAATCTGTGTCTTTTTACAAACAGCATGTTTCTTCTTTTTGGAAATACACAATAAATAAAAAAATTCACCTCATCAGAACTTGTTGATATTTTCCCTACAATGTTAATTACATTAAGTGCTTTTTAGGACTTGAATTGTCTACGCGGTCTGAATTGGGAAACAAAAAGTAGTTCATCTCACTTGATAAATACCCTTGTATTATTTCTAACATGAAAAACAAAGTAAACATGAACCAGAGATAAATTACACTTGAAAAGAACTGTACACTTATACCTATATCAGCTTATCTAAAGATATACACATAATCCCTAATTTTAATGGTCCTATGGCAATTTCTTAATTTTCTGATTAAAATGGAAAGAAAAGTGAGTTTTTAAAAGCAGGTGACTTTTATATTAAAATCTCCAGTGTTGCCAGCAATTTTTCCCATATATAAATGCATTATTAAAAGTTTAATTACTTCATTAAAGCCATGTACATAAAGTACAGCAAGAAAAAAAGGAACAGAATTACACACGATTAATGTTGTGGCGTGTTCTGCCGGCCCCTTTGTTTATGTAGGCATTGTCTGCAGTATACCACAGCACATACGCAAGGAGTTTTGTGTCCGTATTTTTTCCTCTTCTAATAGCAGAATCGTATCATTAAAGATTATTTATATTTTTAGGATTGCAAAATATCCCTTTGTAGATATTCATAACTTACTATTCAATCAAAGTTAGACATTTAGGTGGTTTATTTTAAATACCATAAAAAAATGTATGCGTCCGTTTCAAGTTAAATGGACCCCATTGTGCCTTGCTTCTCTAACGGCTAGTGTAGCTTTGAACAAATTATTTTACTCTGACTCTCTTATTCTATCATTCCCTAGTAGTTTTAATAAAAATACATGGAAAATATCTAGTGTTAGCTGGGCACACAATGTTCAATGAATTATAGTGACAACAAAAACCTTCTGTATTTCATATTATTTTCTTAAAATTCCCACAAGTAAAATTATTCAATCAAAAACATGAATGTTTTAAGGCTCATAATAAATTCTACCAGATTATTTTCTAAAATGGCGGCATTAATTTAGATTTTCCACAGCAACGAGTGTGGCCCTGACCAGCAATATGTTAAAAAACAAATGAACCTGGAAAGAAAATTTAGCTTAAGGAGAAGGCCAGTTACCACACAGACAGTCACGCGGAAACGGCACGTTACTCAGTGTAGACTTACGCTGCCTGCGGCGCTGCCGCCGCCTTGTGCGAGGGAGATAAGGCCTGAAGTTTGCTTCCCAGGGCGCTGCTGGCGGAAGGCGCTTTGCCCGAAGACGCACCTGATAACGAAGAAGGCCACAGGTTTAGGGAGGCTGTGAAGAGCAAAAGCCACAGAGAAACAGAGCATCTGGAGAGGGAGGCAGTCCTGCAGCAGTGCTCTTCACGGCTCTGAAGTCATACAGCGAAAACTTTACAGAAGGCATTTCTAAAGAACAATGGGTTTATTTCTAGCGTCTATTTTATATTTACACACAGGTGAAGGCACGTTTTAATGGTCAATAGCTTCTTCAATCCATGAAGTATTTGTCTATTAGGAACAACCGGCAAATTCAGAAGAAGTCAATATAGAAAGGAAAAGAAAATATTGAGGTCAAAGAAAAGAACTGGCTCAACTATTCTGAGTAGATGATAAACTAACATAAACATAAAGGCAGGTATTTAGGCAAAACAAAAGCAGGAAAACAGCAAAGTATCTGAAGTGGAGGCTTTTGAGACTTATTTCACTTTTCCTCAGAAATAATTACTAACCCACATTTCTTTTTAAATCTATTCTAATAACCCACCACAGAGCACTATGGTTATTACTGGCAAGCGTTTCCCCTTCTGAAGTTAGTTTACAGGTCTCATTACCTACAACAGCTTTGCTAGTGCCGCTCGGCTGTGGTAATCGTGAAGATCCTGACGAGGTGGCTCCGGGAGAGTTTGACTTTTTAAGTGCAGGTGGTTTATACTAAAATAATGAAAATAAAATATTCTATCAATATAATTTCTAGTTACAGATTGTAAATTAGTAATTCAAAGCCTTACATTCTCCAAACGTACAACTTTAACTTCACAAGAAGAGCGAGCTACGGAGATGGAGCACAGTGACCCCTGCATAACATTACAGTGTGTTCTCGGTATCACTGACGTGAGCGCTTAGGAACAGTTAGGTACAGGTAAGTCTCTCTACTCGCAAAGAGATTTTACTGAAATGGGAAGAAGTTTACTTATGGCAAAATGACTGAATGAGCTGTCTGAACCAACCCTTTAATGAAAAACTAAAAATGCCCAGGAGAGTAACAAAGTATGTTAAAAAATATTAACCGGCACTTTAAAAGCACTGCATGTGAGACGAGAGAAAAAGAAGCTGCCAGATCAGCTCCTTTGGAGATTGTAGTAACTGTCTGGCCATCATATGGACTCTCTATAAGGCTAATCAAGCAAACACACACCAATAATTTAAATTTTTTCAGAGAGACAGTACTCTTAGTTACCTGGAATAAACGAGCACAAGCTTCTCTAGAAGGTACCTCACATGAAAAATCATTCTAAATCATTTTTGAGAGGTAACAAGCTCAAAACAGTAAACATTCATCATGGATGTAGTATATCAGAAACCATGAATGAAAAATGAAAGACAGCAGGGACCTATCTATCAAGGCCACCTGACACAATAATGCCGGATATGTATTTCCACAATGACATCTACTATATTTTTTAAAAAGGTAAATTTGCAAATATTAAATTATAAGCAATTAAGAAGTGGGAAAATAAAAAAATAGCAAACTTCTAGAAAACAAAATACAGTGACACATTACAAACTCTGGTAGACAGATGAAGTGGCCAAATAACCCTCTTACAGGTATCATCTGCAAGAGGATTTAGAAAATATTAGAAGACTAGGACCCATGGAGGATTTGCAGCTATGTCCCCTGGGCTTAACTGCCCAAGGTAACTTTTTATTGTTAAAAATGGAAAGAGAAACACCACTCCACAGAAAACACAATCCAGGTGTGATTTATTGTTTATAATATCGAAATTTCCACCAAAAATCGCTGGGGAAGAAACAGGAAAATATGGCCTATATTTGACAAAACTGTCCACAGAAACTGACTCTCCACGGATAAGGGTATAAGATTTTGCAAATAAGGTCTTAAAAATGGTTGTAGGTAACATCAAAAACTGAGAATTCAGTGAAATAGGGCAAACATGTTAACAGCGAACAAACAGTAGGCATCTCAACAAGAAATGAAAGCAAAACCCAGGCATTTTCAGCCACCAATAAAGACAGATGGGAAATGAAAAAGAAGGTAAGAGAGGCTGACCACAAAGAAAGAAAAGGTCTGGAAATAGTAAATGCATAAACACAAAGCAAAGTATGCTTCGTGTACACAAACGTGCATGCACAGATGTTCACAGATTTCTTCTTGTCGCATCTTTAAAAGCAGATGACTCTGGCAAGTAATGAGACCGTACAGCAGACACATCAAGAGCACGGACAGCTTGTCGTGTTCAGGGTTCTGACGCACAACAGCACCAGCGGGAACGGAACAGGGACAAGTGAGAGGCACACTCTGCTATCAGAGTAGCTAATGGAAGGTAAAAATTATATAGCCAATAGGAAAAAAGATCTGTGAAGAAAAAGGCAACAGAAGAATCATACACACCAAAAGTTGAGGACAGCAACATGGCAGGTTACACACAACCAACCAGCAATAAGTATGTTAAAGGAAAATATCTAAACACTTCCACCAAAACGTTGTGGTTGCCAGACGGATTACAAAAGATAAAATATGAGTCAATTACACGCTACTGTATAGGCTATGCAAAAACATTTAAAGAAAGAAAGTGAACGTAATTAAACTGAAATGACTATGTTCTTACCAGATTAAACATACTTTAACAAAAGGAATATTGTCACAGGAAGTGACCCTTTGAAAGGATAAAAGGGATAATAAATGGGTCAAATAAAACGAACTGCAAACACAAACACTAAGAGGCACTCAAAGTGCTTGACACAAGAGTGGCAAAACAAGAGACACAGAAAAAAACCACAGTCACAGTTCATCATCTTAGTACACACCCTTCACGGATTGATGAGACATCCAGACAACAGTCAGAGCCCGCCACTGAACTGACATTTGCAAAGCTCCTTCAGTAATGATGGGAAACCCAGAAAAATAGCCAGTTAGAAGCAGCCACCTAAACGTGGCATTTAGAGAACAGCCGCTGAACACATTTTCTTTGCCAGATGCTATGTCAGACCGCATGCCGGGCAGTAACACCCATTTCAGCAAGAGGAAAACCCTGGCAACAATGTTCTCAAGCTACAACAGAATTAAATTAAAAATAGCAGTAGAACATTGAAAAAAATCCCACTATCTGTAAGTAAATGATTTGCTTTGAATCAAACTTTTTTTGTAAGATGCAGTCAGAGCAATATTTGACCACTGAATCAAAAGACTGTTTTTCTTTGGAAAGATGTAAAAAATTCGCAAACTAGAGCAGCTAGATCGATAACAGGAGAAATTTTACACTACATTAAATTAAAAATTAAATTTAAAAATTAAAAATTTACTTAGAAGGGAAAAAAGAAAAGGGAAGATAAAACATCAGTATTAGGAATGAAAATGATATCAGCACGAATTCTACAGCCAAACAAGGATAATACTACTTTAACGTCAATAAATTCAACTACAGTGACAACATTACTTAAAATACACAGGATGCAAAACTAATATAAAAATGCAGCATCTGAACACTACAGCTACTTAAGAAACATATGCAATAGTCTAAACCTCAGGAAGATGGAAACTGTAGAGCTACAGTAGTAACTAGATTCTAACAAAAACATAAGAAAAAGTAAATACTACAAAATCTCCAAAGAGGAAATCACAGTGACCTCACTGTGAGACCAGTAAAATTCTGATACCAACATCCCAGTCAACGTTCCTCATGAGAAAAGATGAAAAATTTTAATGAAGTTTTAGCACATGAAATTCAAAAATATATAAAAAGGATAATTTGTTACTAAGTAGGATTCACTCATGGACAGCAAAATTGATTGAACATCTGCAGATGAGTACAATTTATTATATTAACACTTTTATTCTACTGTACCAGTGTTGGTTAACATATCAATAATATGTATTATGAAGAGATTCAGAGCATTTGACAAAATTCAAATCCCTTTGAGGTTTAAAAAAACCCAGTAAGGAAGAGAACTTTCAAAGCCTATAAAGTGCAGAAATAAGAATTCACAGCTAATGTCAAACGTGGTGAAAAACTGAATGGTTCCTACCCAAGACCAGGATCAAGACAAGGATCCCCACTCTAAATGCATCTATTCAACAACGTATGAAAGAGCCGCAGTACCACTGCTACAGTTTGGGTCCGGATGTCCCTGACGGCCCATCTGTTCAAGGTTTGCTCTCCAGCTAGGGCTCTACTGGGAGCTAACGGAACCTCTAAGATACGGGGCCTAGCGCCCTTGCAGGGGTGGAGATGCGCACCCCCTTCTTTTGTACTCAGCCATGACCTCAACAGGACTCAGCCCCCCCACGCTCTAGCCATGACGCCCTGTGCCACCACACATGCAAACCAAAGGCGCCAGCTGGTCCTGGACAGGAGGTGCCAAAGCCGAGCCAGCGAGAACCTCCTCCTCTCTTTAAGCTAATCATCTCAGGTATCTGTCATTCATAAGGAAAGGTTACCGCCAATAAATCACAAAAAAGGAAAGTATACAGACCACCGCAGGAACTAAAACTGCTCTTTTTTACAGGTGACTTGACTTTGTACGCAGAGAAAAATCTGAAGAAAGTTAAATATAAGACAGTATGTGCATGAGCTATATACTGAAAACTGAGGCAATACAATAGAGAAAAGCTAAATAAGCAGGAAATATAACAAGTTTATGAACTGGACAACATTGTTAAGATGCTGCTTCTCCACAAACCGACTTACACACAATGTCATCTCTGTCAAACCGAGCAGCCTTTTTATTTTTAGAGATTAACAACTGTGAAATTCATGTACAAATGTAAGCAACCTGGACTAGCTTAACCATTTTTTAAAAGGAAAAAGAAATAGGCATATATTCAACTGATTTTCAACTGAAGTGCCTAAACTATTTATTAGGGAAAGAAAAATCTTTTCAACAAAAGGCATTTTTTTCCCAAAATGATGATGATAAAGATGATATGGTTTATTTCCAATAGTATTTTTAACATTCAGTACTAGAATTCTCTCAAAAAAACCCCTACTGTATTGGGGTCTCTTGATCCAACATCTGATTCACAAATAATAAGACATATGGACTTGACTTATCTACTGTACGCTAGATTTATAAAACTTGAAGTTGCTAAAGCCGTCAGCTGTGACGCGTCCCTGTAGTCCCCAGCTACCTGAGGCTGACAGAAGCATGTCTTGAGCCCAGGAGTTTGAGGCAGCATGGAGAACACAAAGAAACCCTGACTCAAAAGAGGAAAAAAAATTTCAAAAACTAAAGCTTTTTCAAAATAAAAATCCACTCCATGCTCTACATTATTAAGGTTTCTGTTTAACAGTATGCTTAAAGAAAAATAACAGTACCATACAAATTAATTTACCAAAATTTACAACACAGAGTTTTGTAAGTGTTTTCATATACCTAAGTACACTTGCTTCTCACAACTACCATGCAGATTATCATTTCATGGATGATATGCAGCAATCAGGATTTGAAGGGTGTCCCTCTACCATGTTCATTACATTTTCCTATATCGTGTGTATATAACAGAAATATTTCTAATACATGATTTTCAAACTGACTTTTACTGCATCTTTCTCAGTCTTCAAATAATTTTGGATTTCCTCTGAATCTGGTCCAACCTATCTTTAACATTTCTCTTTATTATTCATTAATTCAGTATATTCTGTAAGTCCCTACTAACTTTTCATATCAATTAGTTTTAACAGTTTTTCAATTAGCCATTAAGATTTCTTACTAAATTCCTTAAAACTAATACATCTACTTTTGCCAGTGAGAAAGTTTCATGTTCTGTAAGGTATGTACATAAAACTATGAACCTGAAAGCATCATGTTCTCATTTATTTGTAGAAATAACTAAAATTGAATGTTTTACCTGTGTCCTAGTAGTTGGTTTTCCTTTGGTATCAGTAGAAAATTTGCCTTTATTACTAATACGTGCTGCCTGTTCTTTACAGAAATTTATATGTCTATCAGCTGCATTTTCATTGAATCTCCTCTGGCAATATGGACACTGAATATAATCTAAAACAGATTAGAAAAAACTAGATTAATAACAAAAATACCTGAAATAGGATACAAAAAAATCACTAACTTTTATAAATGGCAATCAAGACCTGTAATTATTACAACTGATAAATAAAAATTCCCAGTTCTGTATCACATCCAGCCTGATTTACCTAAACAGTAAAGCATTCAAGAAAGAAGCCAAATAAATTACTTTTAATTGTGTCCTAGCGTGAATCAAATTTAGGGAAAACTGTGCAAAAGAATAAAATATACATTCTCAGTATAAAATAGGTGAAAGAAAAATATCATTTTGTCTTTGTAATCACATGTGCATTCATCATATATGCAAAGTCTATACAGTAGATTAGTAATATCACATTAAAACACAACTTACAGTATGGCTTCATCTATAAAATCTCTTACTTAAATTAGAGAAAACCATCAAGAAACAGCTTAATGAGCTTCCAAAAATTTTATTTTCTCTTAGAAGCTAAAGCAGACGGACAAAGTGATTTAAAAAAGTAAAACCTCATTAACATAATTAATTCAAATTTATAAAACAGGAAACATTTCCAAGATAAAATACACTCCTCAAATGCAGCTCTGGATAAATAAAATTTCTTCTAAAATTAAATCTCAAAATTAACAAAGAACCAAATTTTGTAGCATTAGAAAAGACGTCAAATGGGGGCTGGGGATTTAGCTCAGTGGCACAGCGCCTGCCTGGCAAGCGCGACGTCGTGAGTTCGATTCCCGGTACGGGAAAAAACAAAAAAAACCCAAACAAACGCAAGAAAAGAAAAGAAAAGACCTCAAATGAATGAGACATTAGGAATAAACAAAAATTTAAGCAGTGTCCAAAAAGGTTTATTTCAAAAGGTTTACTTCTGGATAGAGAGTGTGTCCTCTAGAATTTATACTTATCTGAAGCTCAGAAATCTGTCCTGCTTACAGATCTAAATAACTGTAATATCTAAGAGGTTATTTTTGTGAAGTCAAAAAAAACGGAATAATTTCTGAATTCCAAGTTATTATGAAGAAATAGCACTGTCTCACTTGCTTGGGAACAATACAACTACGTAGATTACTAAGAATATAGCTATGTCTTTTATTCTTTTATTGAAAGTTTGCCAACTTCTACAACCAAATGTTAAAAATGATCACATCTAGGTTTCTTAAAAAGCACTCTTAGCTAGAAAATGAATCCCAGCATAGCTCAATTTTAATGCTGTTAACTTGTTACCCTAAAGTAACCATCTCTAGGCTGTTAAAATGAGCACAGCCAAGTGTCAATTGCTGTACTTCAAGTCTGTCAGTACACGCACTGTCACACACGTTTGCCACTCTTGATTTACTTTGGCAGCAATTAACAAGGCAACTTTCAGGTGCCCAATGAAGAAAATATAACAACAAGTAAACTGAAAGCAACTCAGTCTGCATCATCGTGTGCACACATGAACTGTGCATTTTACAAATAATATTTTGACTATTTTCTTCCCACACGGGGGGATACCAAATAACCAGGCAATATATCTGAATCCTATTCAAGGACTATATCTCAACCCACCATAAGCACAATTAAATTATTTCCTGGAAACCAGGGGGGTGGAGCACACACGTAATGCTTCTACTTTGGGAGACTGAATTTAGGAGGATCACAAATTTCAGCCCAGCCTGGGAAACTTAAGTAACTTAGCAAAACTCCATTTCAAAAGGAAAAATTAAAATATGGACTGGAATGTAGTTCAGTGTGAAGGCCTTGGGTTCATAGCAGTACTGAGACCAAAAAAAAAAAAAAAAAAAAATTTTTTTCCTAGATTATTAGCACTTGATTATTACCATAATCATTTTTAAAAATTAAATGCCCAGATTATCACCATTATTTCATACCAAAGCATTTCAAGATTATGCTTTATTAGGTTTCATTATGATAAACTATTTTGTAACAAGTAAGACTGTAAAAGCTTCCATCATTTTCTGTCCACATGAACATTTTGTCAACAACATTCCACACACCAGGGTCGTAAGACGGTGGAGGAGGAGGGGGAAGCTTGCCGCCCTCCTTAAGCGCCTGATCCAGGCCTTTAGCTGCTCTGATGGTTGCAATGAACTCTTCATGTTTCCTTCTCCAGTTAGATGGTTTCTTTGGTGGTTCTGGCTACAAATAAATAGAAAAAATTAGTATCAAAATATTTTTTAACAAAGTGAAATAAAACTTGAGGGAATGCCAGATTATTTTAAATGTTCTCTTAACAGTAATCTTCCTTTCCAAATTAAAAAAAAATTAAAGAAATGTATTCAACGGCATTGTATACCACTTTTTAAATGTAAATCTATTTGTGCCAAAGCATCTTCTATAGGCGTTACGTCCACTTACTCCCATTGTGAGTATTTCTATGCTTTCCCATAATCTCTGTAACAAAACTTACTCATTTTCAGGCTTTTATCAGATTAAACAAGCGAAAAACAGTCCTTTCTCAGTGGATTTAGTTTTATAATAAATGCATCTGAGCACCCTTACATTTCAGTAAGAACCATTTATGTTGCCTATTTTGTGAACTACTGTATCTACACGCATAGCCAACTTCTTTGAGTCTTTGGCCTTTTGTCACAATACCTAGTAACTTTCTAGGAGATACTATCTTCTCTCTCCCTTCAGCAATCTGTCTTTTGACCTTGACTGTGGGTCTTTTAATTCTTAGATTATTTTAATACCACAGTTTGATTTGCTGCCTTTTTGTTTATGCCCTCTGGACTTGCAACTGCAGTAAACTAGTTAAGCCCAACCTGAAATCAAGGTGCAGATAATCTTCTGACGTTGCCCCCTAGAACTGTCGTGGTTTAAGCTTTAAAATTTTCTTTTATTCATTTGTAATTATTCTGGTTATACAGTGTGACACTTAATTCATCTTTACTTTTTAATACGTTGAAGTAGGTGTCTGAACACCTTTTAATCCCACCCCCAGTCCCAGGAGACAGCACATGAACCCTACACTTTGGACTGGGCCTACTTAAGCATTTTTTCTTCTGTTCCAGTGCTCTGACTATCCTTGCGTTAGTACTAGTACCTTTTTCATTTTCTTTTTATTTTAAAGAGAAAAGAACAAAAACAAAATAACAAAAACAAAGACATAAACAAAATAACGTAACTGTACTACTAATTCTATTGGTTTATTGAAAGGAACAGTTATTGTGTAATTGTTTGATCAATCTTACATGCCTGTATCTGGTTACCTGAGTAACCACTTTGAAGATAACAATATCTAATATAATAACCATTGTTAATTTCCTATCACCTTCTTTTGAAATTCTGTATCATTTTTATTGTTTTTATGTTGCTTTGTTTAAGTACTGGTATTTTAAATACCTAAAACTTTACAAAACATATTTTGACATCTACTAGGGTAATGCTACCTTATTCTTTTCAATGTTTTCCTAGTTGTTTGCATATCTGTATTTTTTATATGAACTTTATAATCAGCTTATTTAAACAAATTAGTATACTTTAACTGGAAAAAATTACATGATATACGTAAACATCTTAGGTAAAGTCCTTATTGTACTGAATCTTCTGATATAAAAACAAGCAGCATAGTTTTACTTGAAAAAGGTGTATTTTTATCTTTCAATAATACTTTAGTATCTTCTGTGGCAACCTTGCTCCTTCAGTATAAGTTATCTGTAAATATGTTTTGTGATTTTTTTATACAGGGCCTTCATTTCTATATTTCAAGAGACTACCACTGAATACTGTACACCTAATGTTTGCATAACAAACTACTCATTGCTTCCCGTGTCCTATTCTCTATAGTAATTTATCAGCTGATTTGCTTGAGCTTTACAGGTGTAACGTATCTCCTGATAGTAACAGTTCTGACTATTCTAACCACACATCTAAATTCTTTCTCTGATCTGTTTCAGCAGCATTTGCTGTGTCGGCTGCAATTTAACCTTGTCCTGACTTTAATGGGACGACGTCTTGTGTCTTTCCACTAACATCGCCTTGGCTCATGTACCAAAAACCAGAGATTTACTCTGTCACATTACTGACATGCCAAACTAC